CCACCGGATCTGGTAACTAAAGTAGTGTTTTCCGTTTAGAAGCTCCAAAACCAAAAATTCATAGGACTTCTGCCACACCTACAAAGATTTGAGAAGCAATAAGATGCTTGGTTAGTGTTTTTGGAGGCAAATACGACTAGATCTCATGTTTATGATTGGGTATAAGAACTAGAACCGCAACCGCAGCCCAAAAGCTAAAGTAGTGTTTTTCCGTTTAGAAGTTCCAAAACCCAAAACTCATAAGACTTCGGCCACACCCACAAAGATTTGAGAAGTAATAAGAAGCTTGGTTAGTGTTTTTGGAGTCAAATATGACTAGATCTCGTGTTTATGATTGGGTATAAGAACTAGAACCGCAACCGGATCCCAAAAGTTAAAGTAGTGTTTTTCCGTTTAGAAGCTCCAAAACCGAAAACTCATAGGACTTCAGCCGCAGCCACAAAGATTTGAGAAGCAATAAGGAGCTTGGTTAGTGTTTTTGGAGTCAAATATGACTAGATCTCGTTTTTATGATTGGGTATAAGAACTAGAACCGCAACCGGATCCCAGAAGCTAAAGTAGTGTTTTTCCAATTAGAAGCTCCAACACAGAAAACTCATACGACTTCGGCCACACCCACAAATATTTGAGAAGCTATAAGAAGCTTTGTTAGTATTTTTTGTGGATGTTGGATTCACACTCGATTATCTTTAAGTATTTTTGTAGAGAAAAACTCTTGTAAAATCAGGAAATGAATATGAGAATTTGAAAAGGAAATCAACCAAGAAAAAAATGAGGAAAATTGATAAGAACGAAGTACAAAATGCCTTGCCAAAGATAGTAAAGAGAGAAAAAGTATTGTATTGCTTTTAAGTAATGAATAATCAGATCCCCCCCTCAAACACATGCGTTTGAGGTAGTTTTTATAGAGAAAACATGATCAATACGGTCATTTACTGCTCATAATCGCATTGATCCGCATTAATCATGTAAGTTACATTTTGACCGAAACGGCTTGAATTGAACTATCTTGGGCTTCGCACGGATCTTCCGAACTCTTTCTTGTTGACTCCGAACTCCTGCGTCTTGACGCTGCCGCGAGCCCCGAACAATATTCTCCTCGCTTCGGCCTATCTCTATGCGAACTGTATGTTGAAATAAGAGCGAACTCCGTACTGGTAAAGATCGAACTCTTTTAATAAACTGAATCAAACTCCCGACTGGTTAAGCTCGATTCTCATAATAAAATATCTTTAACTCCAAGAGGATTATTATGTAATAATGACGTAGACAGATCCAAGTGGATCATACCAAAAATGTGTGGGATCCGACCCCAACATTTAGCCCCCCAAGTCTTGCGAGCTGAGTGCTCGGCTTGGAAGACTTAAGTAAATAGTAATTAATGATTCGAGATCTTTAACATTCCGGAATTATTCCATGTTTTACGCTATTACGCCGATCTCGGATAATCAAATGATTTGATATCCCTGACAACCGTCATCATTAATTTTCTAATTTTATATTAATACTGCGGGGAAAACCCTCCCACTTCCCAATATTCTCGAGGCGGTTTTCTGCTAAATAAGGTTAAATGGAACGACGGCTTTTACAGCAGCGTACATTTACCTCTAAAAGATTTTACCAAACCAGAAAAAGAGAAACCTCTTAGTAAAAGATGTATTCCCCAGCCGTCTATGTTTCGGACAACGAAGATGACAGTCAAGGAATCCCTGTTCCCAGAGGGGACGAAGTCTTCACCCAAAGGGAGAAAAATTTGGTCCGCATTTTAGGTCTCAGTCGACCTCTGCTTCCCTTGGTGTTCTTCGCCGCCTTTGTAGCATCCCCCAGAAAATTGAATTCTCTCTTCCTAGACCCAACGAGTCTCCGGAAGTGGTGCGAGAGGGTTACTGTTGTGCGTACGAAGTCTATTTCAAAGGTTGTGGTTTGTTTTTTCCCGTACCGGAAGTTCTTCTTTTATACCTCCTCCACCTAGGGATTCCCTTTCCCCAAATGGCTCCCAACTTTCTTCGATACGTTCTGAGCACCCTGACGATTTCGGCAGAAGCAGGGTTTTCCCTCTCCACTAGCGAACTCTTAGCGCTATTTCGAGTCCACGAATCCGCAGCAGCAGGTATTTTTTCTATAAACCCTATCCTTGACCGTAACCTGATCGACGGAATGCCCTCGAATGATGGGCCTTGGAGGAAATATTGTTTCTTTTTCCGATTCAATCCCCATTCCGTTCAAGGTCTTTCTGGTCTTCTTCTCGCCAATTGGTCGGCTAAACTTGGTTAAAAATCCAACCTTTATTACTTTCCACTGTATTATGTAAAAGAGATAGAATTCTTAACCCAACACTTTGTTTCAGGGAACCAGACGATCCCCCGCCCAACTGTTGACTTCTTGTCCTTCTTTCGAATCGTTTCCGAGGGTGAAACAAATTGGAATTCCTTCACCCTTCAACGTATTCATAAAGCGGGGCTCGCCATTAAAGACGGTCAGACTCACCCCCTCGATCCTCTTCACGAAGAGAAAGACGTCTCGAGCCTAAATGCTCGAGATAAAAGAAAGATGCAAGATGAAATCAAGGCTCTTAAGGATCAGCTATCCAAAATCGGGAGAAAGAAACGGATAGCTGCTATCTCCAGGGTTGGTAACTTCCACAGGAAGACCCTCTTGGTTGATGACGGTTCATTAGAAGTGGCCCTGTCAGCCGCGGTGGATACTCATGGAGCCGAGATCCTTAACGACCCTCTTATCGCCACCGTAATTTGCCCTTCCGAACAAGGGCGTGAGGGAGAAGTAACTTCCTCTCCTTGTACAAAGAGGAAGGCTCCAGATTCAGATAATCTATCAAACGAGAGACTTAAAACCGTGAGATTAAGTTCTCCGCCACGAGTCTCTAGCCCTCTACGTTCTGTTTCTCCCTCTTCAGAACCTTTAAACTCTGAGCTCCCTCTTCCGGGAGACAGAGTAATTTCAAAGGAAATAGATGAGCCGAGACCGGAGGCTCCCCTATCTCAAGGACTGAGTGTTAGGACTCAAAATCCTTTACCCGCTTCGATTTCAGGTAAGTTTTTACTTAGAAAGCGAGCATTAGCAAAACTTGTTACAGATAGCATATATTTTATTAATCTGCTATTCTCCTCTGCTTCGCAGGCGGAGAAGAGATTGAAGACATCTTCCGAAGTGTCCAAACCAGGGAAGGGGCGTCCCTTCCTCCTTTTTCTGTTTGGAGGCCGGAAATCCGTCAGATGTTCGCCAGTCGAGCTTGCTACCTATCCCAGGTTCGGATCTTTTAGATTATGACAACCTCCCTTCCTTAGGCAAAAGCTTTTTGTCTAAACGACATGTTTTTTTTTTACTCCGAAGGCGTTTATGGAGACTAATGGAATGATCTTCCATTATGAGAACCTTCTTCATCAAGCGAAGAGAGAGACTGCTAAGGCTAAGAAGGAGGTTGATGAACTAAGATTAGCCAACCAATCTGAGCGACTTGAGCGGGAAAAAGCACTCGAGTCATCTTTTGAAAATATGAAGAAAACTCTAGCAGCTAACGAGCAACGCATCAGAATTGCGAATGCTGAAAGAGATTCTGGTCTAATGCTCTTCGCTTGGAGGCTGAGCTAGAAGAGAATACGGCTTTGTTCGAAGAAGCGAATCAAGAGATCAAGCTTTTAACTAGGAACACGGCTCGCGATATCGCTGAAGCCGAACATAACGCTCGAGAAGAGATGAGGGGATTTGGTAGGCAACTTATTCAATCTGTTACGAAGTTCATCAAGGACGAAGAGGTCTGGACTAAACTTCTAACCGATCGAGCCGAACTGAAGAGCAATCTAGACCTGATTAAGGAACTAGAGGCTGGAAGAGTTTCGTTCGAGAGCGAGAGGAGCGAAGTTGCTGCCGAACTCGCTGTGGTTGAATCCGAGTTATCCTCGGCTTCCCGTCCTACTCTTGAGCTGAAACAATTTTCTTTGGTATTTGGAGATTCCCCCTATCAATTCGAGGTAGGTGAAGGTTCTCGGCCACACGAGGGTTCTCCTGAGGCAGAGGGACGCTCTTAAAGAATTGTTTTGCTGTATCCATGAGGACTAATCTGTTTGACGGAAATGTGAGAGATGAATTGCAAGTCCTAGCCCACCAAAGAGGTTTTATGAATTGTGAGAGATGAGCTGATCAGGCTCACTTGCCTTTTTTAAAGAAAAAATCTTAACAAGTATTTTTCCTCGGTCTCTCGGGTGCGAGGATAGAGATCGGCTTAGGCTTTTTATCGAGGGATAAAGTTTTTACAATTCGTGAGAATTTTGTCATAAGAATGACCAGGTAATGGTTTCGATCATGACCTAAAAAATGGCTCCAAAAGTGTTGGGCCATGTTTTAATTGGACCCGAAATCTGCTTTAGCAGGTCCATTATATATTATTCCTTTAAAGAGTCCGAACGCTTTTTTGTTTTTAAAAAAGAATCCTGAGAGACTTGTAGGTTTTTATAAGAAAAGTGAGACTATGCCGCTATCCTCTTTCAGATCCAGCTCAAGAGTAACAACCTCAAGCGGGGATCCGCTGTTTGAATCTGAGGACGGATTTTCCCCCAATGGAGTTATTCGCCCCACGTTTTTCCATTTCAGAACGGGGAAAGAAAGGGTCCAATGTTATGACTTCCTAGAAAAGGTTCCCTTTCTGATTTTTAGTTTTTTCGAGAAACTATAAACTCTTTTTCGACCAGTTAACAAAATGTTTGTTCAAACAGGTCGTCGGGAAACATAAAGCTTTATGTGATAAGAGAAAAAGAATCGGAAGAAGGCGCCATGCTCTTGATGAGCGAATAAAGAGGATAGAAAGAGAGATCCTTCGCCTAGAATCTGAACCGCATGAATGGGAGAGGAACGGTTTAGACATCGTGGCCATTATTCCTACTTGTCTCCGAAGATTCCTCCGAGTGCTGGACAAATTTTTTCATCTATCCTTGGCGACCGGCGATGGATCCTCGTTTGTTTCGTGTTCTTCAGAATTTCGGAGATTTCCGATGTTAAGAACTGAAGAGAATGAAGGACCAGAGGAGAAATCTACTGATCATCCTTCCGGTCCCCTCGATCTATCTTCCGACCAGGGACTTTTCTCAGAAAGCTGTTCGGGATCGTCCACCTCGCTAGAATCGTTATCGGGCGAAGACTTCTGATCGAACAAGTCCCTTGATTTTTTTTTTTATTATTATGTAAAATACTATTGGGCTAGAGGCCCAGCAATATTAATTACATTCCCTTTTTGCTTTAAATTTGTCGATTCAATCAAATAATATTTATTGCGTTTATCTAGGGAATATAATTAGTAATGAACTCGATTACATTTTCCATAAAAGTAGTAATTTCAGATTTGGGAAATCGTCAATTTACCCTCTTAAATGTGGTCAAGTATATTTTGAATATAAAGCAGATGTAGATCGCTATTGAATTTAATCAACAATAATTCTACAAAAATGTTTGAGGAAGGTAATTTCTCAGAGAATCCCTCTGACTCGTTTAAAGTGATAAGTGATGATCTTCCGGAGACGTCAGACATCAATCTTGTAAAAACGGAAGCTAACGACGAACCAGAAGAATCACGCCCATTAGGTTGGGGAACGAGCATTCAGGTTCCAAACGTGTTAATTGATAGATTATCAGCTCAAGATCGTGCCAAGGCCGAGGAGTTTATTACCAAGGTATTGTTAAACCTGGTGATTTAACTCTTTTTATTATTGCTAAACGAAGCATTTCATTTTCTTCAGCTTATCATTCGGCACGACGAGCTCGAAAATGAGAAACAAGAGATTAGGCATAGGATCATGGAACTAGAGAAGCGTCGCCTCGATATTGCTCGCGAGCTTCATCGCCTCAAAGCCCATCTTTCCGATTGGATCGAACTAGGACTTCAGGAGTACGGAAACATGCCAGGTTGTATTATGAGCATCGTTGACCTCGCAGGTCAAGGAGCAAAGTTGTTCCGTAACTCAAGACCCTTCTAGATCTGGTTCTAGCTTATTTATTTATACATCGTTCGTAATGTATTTTTATATTCATGTTCAAATATTGAATTTATAAAAACAAGATTCCATGATATGAATAATATTTTTATTTTTATGTTATAGATGGACTCGTGTTTAGCGAGCTGCCTACGTACCCAAAATAGGATCAAGCCAAATCGTAGTTCGATTGTGTTTGCTTTAGCAATAGAACTTTTTCAAGTTGATGACGTTCCAAGGCCTTTGAACGGGATTTCCGTCAAGGTCTTGTAAACGGTAAACACCATTTCGGATTTTTTCTGTGATTTGATAAGGACCTTCCCAGTTAATACCGAGTTTTTCAGCTCCTTCTTCTTTTGTGTTATCGAACACTCGTCTTAAAACAAAGTCTCCTACATTTAAAGGTCTGTTTTTCAACTTTGAGTTATAGTACCGAGCGGTCGATTGTTGATAGTTTTGAAGCCGAATAAGGGATTGATCTCGCCTTTCATCGATTGTATCAAGAACATCTTCTAATAATTTAGAATTTAGTTCTTCGTTAAGAGGAGCTTCGCTCCGGCGTAAACCAGGAACATTCAGTTCGGCTGGGACTACAGCTTCCATCCCATATACTAATGAAAATGGAGTTTCTCTCGTTGCTCGTCTCGGGGTTGTTCGATATGCCCACAACACAGGTTGCAGCTCGTCATACCAACCACCTTTCCAAGCATTCAAACGCTTTTTAAGATTGCTGAGAATGTTTTTATTGGAAGCTTCCCCTTGCCCATTTCCTTGAGGATACCTCGGCGTTGAATAGCTAAGTTTTATTCCCCAAGCGGAACAAAAATCTTCAAATTCATTTGAAATGAATTGAGGACCGTTGTCCGTTACTATTTCGTAAGGAATTCCATGGCGACAAATAATGTGTTTCCACAAGAATGTTTTTACCACAGAATCTTGTATATTTACGTAGGCTTCTGCTTCGATCCATTTGGAAAGGGTATGTAGCGGATATAGATGACAGAATTTCAGATGGCTGGTGAATAAGAGGAGCATGCATCTGACACTTTTTACACTGTTTGGCATAGTCGATGCAGTCAGAAATCATAGTTGGCCAGAAATATCCTAACCGTTTGATTTTAAAAGCCATTGCTCGTCCTGAAGAATGACTACCACAAAGCCCTTCGTGGACCTCGCTTGTCACTATTTCAACTTCGGGTCCCAAAATACATAAAAGGTAAGGATCACTGACGCCTCGCTTGTACAATGACTCTTTAATTATACAATACTTAGCGCTGATGATTTTTAATTTGCGAGCTTGCCATTTGTTCGATGGTAGTTCTCCATTAAGAATGAAATTTTTGATGGGTACCCTCCAGTCAGCCCCCCAATCATTAGCAGGCAATATCGAATCAACTTGTTAAAGCCAATACTCGCTCTAAACGGCCAATCCCTTGGGATAAAGACGAGTATCTCAGGAATTAGTGGATCAAACATTCCATCAAACACCTTTTGGGTGCAGGAATGTCTGGATTCATATTCCACTTGATCAGAAAGGAACAAGCAATAAGCACAAATAATCCAGAAGGGATTCAAACAATCTAAACTCAACCATCTAAAAACGACCTAGGCAACCACGACTACTCCATCCCATCCCCAGAAATACAGTTCACTACTCAGACATCATGCTCAAAAACGTAATCACGAATAAACAAGAATATTGCATAAGTAAAGAGATAAAGAGTAGAGAAACAAGGTGATAGACGAAATCAAATGCGAAATCCGAATAACTTGGAAAAATCTCGAATTACAAGATTGCAGACGAAAGCGGCTAAGCGATAGAGTAAACTAGGTTTAACAGAAATGAAAACTCGAAGCAAAAAACTAGATGTCTCGGGACAAAACCCTCGAAGACTTATTTATACAAAACATAGAGATGGGTCGCAAATCCACTGGATCGGCCCATGGAGTCATAATGGGCAGAAGCTGGGCCTTGTGATCGAGTGAAACTCCAGCCCGCTTCCGAACACTTCTTCTTCTTCTCTCCTCTTCCTTATGCTCAGCTTGTCTAGTTGAGTGCGGATTTGAGAAGACTCTGAAGATGTGATCGAGTGAATGTCAGAGTGATATGGTCGAGTGCTTCAGGAGTCCTGGCGCTGGTGTCACTCGACCACGGGGTCGAGTGGTGTGATTGAGTGACCTGGTCGAGTGGATGGGGAAGACGGAGGCTGATGTCACTCGACCACAAGGTCGAGTGGTATGTGATATGTCTATAATTTGCATGTTTTATACATCCATTTATCACCATTTTAAGTCTAGTTTCATTCATCTTTCATAGCATTCATCATCATTTCGCATAATTTGCATGTTTAAGTGTGTCTAGCATTAGTCTTGCATGCATTTTGCATTCTGGAGTTGTTTCAGGTGTTTCAGAGCTATTGGTGTTCAGAAAGAGGAAAAACAGAGCTAAAAGTCACATTTGGACCCTTATACTCGATCACCAGTAGCAGAGAGGGAAGCAGTCAGCTCAGCAGACCACCAGGACCCTTATACTCGATCACAGGGCAGTCCAGCCATACTGTTCTACTCGATCGCAGAGGAAGAGGAGCAGTCCATCCTGCCAGTTCACTGTTATACTCGTTCGCAAGGTTGAAGAAGCAGTCCGTCCTGACAGTCTACCCACATACTCGATCATAAGAGAGAAGAAGCAGTCCAGACCACGCCACCACCCATTCTACTCGATCACCACCTCGACCCTCTGATCAATCCGCACTCAACCAGACAACCTGAGCATAGGAAAGAGAAGAGGAGAGAAGGAACCACTTGATCGCGGCTTCGATTCACGCTCGACCATGAAGCCCACTTTGAGCCCATCTACTCGACCACAACGTTCCATGGGCCTGTTAAGCGGACTCGAAGCCCACTTACTTATCTTTGTCGTTTTTACTATAAATAAGTTTCTAAGGATTTTCCCTGAGACATTCTTTTTTCAATTACGTTTTAGACTCGCAACCTAGTTTCGTTCAGTAGCCGCTTTTGCTTCTGAAATTCTGTATTTTCTTTTCTTCTAAGTTATTGAGATTTCGCTTTCGTTTCCTTGTTCATTTCTGTTTTATTTCCTTTAATCTTAGAAGTTATGCAATCATCAAACGTTTATGTGTCTTTGAGCATGTTGTCTGAGTAGTGACTAGGATTTCTGAGGATGGGATAGAGTAGTTGTGAGACCCATGGTCGAATCTGATGGTTAAGTGTAGTTATATTGAATCCCTTCTGGATTAGTTGTGTTTACTGCTTATTCCTTTCTGATCAACTGGAATTCGATCCCAAGCATTCCCGCACCCAGAAGGTGTTCGATGGAATGCTTGATCTACTAATTCCAGTGATAATCGTCTCTATCCCAAGGGATTGGACGTTTAGAGCGGTTATTGACTTTAACAGTCGGTTCTTATTGCCTGCATAGTTAGATTCCGTTAATGGGAATTAGTCTGGACTAGCTTTGCTTGAGGATTTGTTGCACGGGAGTGAATAAATCTGTTGTTGAACCTGTTGTCTAGGGATAGCTTCATTGAGAATTGTTAACCATCGAAATTGATTATGGAGTCCACACTATTCGATTACCCCATCCTTAGGAGTTTCTTATCCAATTGATTTATCTGTTTACTTACCTGCTGCATTCACCTTCTCTGTTACTTGCTATTGAGTTTTGATAATTGTCTGTTTTTGGACCCTTTTACTCTATCACATCCTCCTTCTGGCAGTGAGCCTTGTGATAGAGTATATTAGTCATTTTTGTATCTTTTTACAACTTTCTGTACCAATCACTAGGACTATTAGGAAAACAACCAATTCATGCTTGGCTTGACTTAGTGCTTTCTGATCATATCTCATTTGTTTGCATCACACTTGATTGGATTGACACCTAAAATACTACAACGACAGGATAGTGCTTTAAGATTAATTGATCTTAAAATCCTATTATCAATTTGGCGCCGTTGCCAATTGGGTGTTTTCTTTGCTATATTTGAGATTTTTGGAAACGTTAAGATCAAGTTCAATTTTTTTTTTTTTTTTTTTTTTTTTTTTACAAGGTTACTAACTCTGTGTCTTTCTCTCTGTCTGTGTGTTTTAGGTACTATCTTCGATTACTCTGCTCAAGCCGAGCTGATACCTGTTGCATGCATACTCGATCTAAAGGACATCAGAACCTGCTTTTCAACGAGAACATCGACCGTATTGCTCGTGAGTTAAGAGAATAGACAGGCACAGACGTTATGGCCGACGATCAGAACGCAGAATTGCCAAACAACATTGGTGCAGGCGATGCTCCACGCAATGATAATCAGCGCAATGGCATTGTGCCTCCACTAGTGCAGAACAACAACTTCGAGATCAAGAGTGGTCTCATTGCCATGGTTCAGGGCAACAAATTTCACGACCTTCCAATGGAGGATCCACTCGATCATCTGGATGAGTTTGATAGGCTCTGCAGCCTAACTAAGATCAATGGAGTCAGTGAGGATGGCTTCAAGTTGCGTTTGTTTCCATTTTCTCTTGGAGACAAAGCCCACCAGTGGGAAAAATCACTTCCTCAAGGCTCCATCACCTCCTGGAATGACTGCAAGAAAGCTTTCCTGACTAAATTCTTCTCCAACTCCAGGACTGCAAGACTCCGGAATGAGATTTCTGGCTTCACTCAGAAGAATGCTGAGACTTTCTGTGAAGCATGGGAGCGTTTCAGAGGATATCAGAATCAATGTCCTCACCACGGTTTCTCCAAAGCCTCACTCTTGAGCACTCTCTACAGAGGAGTTCTCCCTAAGATCCGGATGCTCCTGGATACAGCATCCAACGGGAATTTCCTGAACAAAGAAGTTGAAGAAGGATGGGAGCTGGTAGAGAATTTAGCTCAGTCTGATGGAAACTACAATGAAGATTATGACAGAACCATCGGAGGAAGTTCAGACTTAGAGGAGAAGCACCGAAAGGACATGAAGGCCATGAATGACAAGCTGGACAAGCTACTCCTTGTGCA